ATTCTCTTGGTGTGTATGTATTTCTATTCTCAGCTTTCTCTTCTGTGATTTCTTGTTACTCATATATCAACATTGCATCAATACCAATACATGTGATAGAGTGTGTGATTTATCGGCCGATATTGTCTTACTGTCAAGTTACCCGTCGGGCTCTGACAACATTTTTTGAGAGCTGAATTATTTTGTTAAATGAAAACAGGGCTAGGAAAATGTAAAATTCTGCATTTCTCAAATTAAATAAGAAATGTGGCATTGCTTCATTATACCGACTCAGATATCACATAAACACTATAGCACCGAACAAATTCAGACAATTCACGGCCTCACTCGACTCCAACTTGACCGGCTCTTCAGCTCAGCGGATCGTGACGCACATCTCCTCTAACCACGGCCTCTTTTTCATCCCTGAGCACCCTCGCAATATCCACCGCCATTAATAACGAGGAAATGCAAACAGTCTGCATTAAAAAGGCACCAGACCTGATTACCTGCTTCTCCTTACAAGCCTCGGCCATTCACCTGCCATAAATCACAACATCGCTGTTAATGGTATTCCCTCAGCCACATCTCTTGGCACTTTATTTCCATGCCAGACACTGGTATCATTATCATACATGCAAGATCTCTATTGGAATACAGTTTGGCTAATGAGCACCTCTTAGTTGATCACATTAGACCTTCACTTGAGGACACTTAATTACCAGTGTTGCACTCCGCACGCTTGTGTCGAGGGGGACAGGAGGAGCCCTTTAATTAAGGCCTCTGCAATCTACCTGTGTTTGTACAAGTCCATATCCTTGGGATATAGGATGTATTTGCGGCTCGAACATGGAGATAAAACATGTGGTGTGTGTGTGTGTGTGCATGGGAGTGTGGGCGGAAGATTTAGTGTGTGCACGTGTGTTGCATGGCTGTTTGTTTTTTCCTGTCTCTATGCCGGTGCTAGAGTTTGTGAATGCATCTGTGTGTGTGTGTGTGTGTGTGTGTGTGTGTAATATGATGGGTGTTTGAAGTTTGTCTCCTGAGCCTGGATGGTTTACACACACACACACACACGCAGGCACACGCTTCCTGTGTCATGAGGCTCTTAACTGTCTCCTCCTTGTGTTTCACACATTCAGGGTGGGACTTGATGTTATAAGAACCTGCCCAGTCCACAGAAAGATGACTGTTTTCTCTCTCTCTCTCGTTGCGTTCCTCCCCCTTTAATTTTCTCCTCTCGCTCTGTCTCACTCTTTCACTCTCAGTTTCTCTCTCAAACAGGCTGAGGCTAGCAGTCAGGAAATGCACATCAGTTATAATACTTTCCTAAAATGAAAACAGATTGCGCTGCAGTCCATCAGACGCTCTCTCTCTTCTCTCTCTCTCTCTCAGCTGAAAACATTCCTTCATTTCTCCTCTCGTCCTCCGCCCGTCCACTCCTCCGTCGCCACTTCAACCTAACTCCCCAGTCCGGGTCTTTCCCAATTACATGGGGTCTCATTTGCTTTCTTCCACAGATGGATGATCACCAGCACACAAGACAGTTGTTTTGTGGGCTGTGTGATCGCAGCAATCTCAAGCGTCTGACACCGGCCTCACAGAAGGCATGACAGTAATCTGCTGCGCCCCCGTACAGCCCCACAGTATGGGCACTTGTGCTTTCTAAGGTAGATTTTATTGATGCAGGTTGCAATAACAGCCAGTAAATCAGTGTGAAGGATGAGGTTAGTGCATGTTGGAATGCTGTTTAACAGGCTGTCAGACCAGAGCATTCACTAGTCGCCCACACGACCTTTACATAAGAGCAGAGACGATATGACCTGAAGGAAAAGGATAAGAAGGATCCAACCACTGAGGCTGTTTCTTCTCATCTCTGGAACTCTGAATGACCAAGTCAGCCGCACAACTAATGAACATCATCATATTTTTTTTAAAATACTGACAAATGCCAGCTACAGTTTTCTGGAAACAAAGTTCACATGGTCACATCGTTGGAAGAAAAACAACCAAAGGTTTTTCATTTAAAGCCAGAATGGCACTTCGCTGAGGCAGTGGTCTGATGACCTAAATCATTTGTCATCAAACCAAGTTAAAGAAAGTAATCCGCACCAGGATTCAATGTGTTCTTCCCAGGCTCCATCTCTCCAACGAGTTCGGTGAAAATCAGTTTGGTAGTTCTTGCGTAATCTGGCTAACAATGAAGCAGCAAACACAAACCAACACACAGACTCTGGTGAGAACTTAATCTCCTCAGTGGAGCTAAAGATAACCAACCAGAAATGTGCACTTGAAACAAGCAGGAGCGAATGTGAATGTTCTCCATTCTTCTTTGACAAATATCTCCAATTACTGATATTCAGTCAGTCATCTGATTGATTAATCAACTGGTTTAACAAAATGAAAAAGGATATAGTGCAAGAAATCGTAAAACTTGAATGATTCAAGGTTACAATATGTAACTTCGGCCGCTAGGGGTCACTCAATCAAAACAATCACAAAAGAGTTAGTTTGATGACATTGTGAAGCAGAAAAGGATCATGGGAGTTGTTGTTTTCATCACCATTGCAGTTGAAAATCTACGACGCAACTCAGGCGCAAATCATGTTGACGGATGAGGTCATGGAGTAAAGTTTTAATCACATTACACAGCAAATGAAAATGAATTACGAGTACGAATCCATTACGAGTGACCAATACAAACAGTGGAGGGAGAAAACAGCCGACTGGCTAACGGACTTACGGGCTAACAGTGTGTTTTTCTTCGTCACACGTTGTTTGAAGTTACAGCGGAGACAGAAAAAGTGGGGATTTCTCTGAGTTTGAACATTATTGGAAACATTTTGGATAATGTCAGTGCAAGTAGACAAACTATTTAACACGTGTCTTGTTGATTTGAGACATTTTACAGATTTTTCTCATATTATGTGTTAAAGCTTTTAGACGGATCAATAGTCAAACCTGATTTGATTCATGATAATAAATCCTTCAGCCTCCACTTGTTAGGCTTACAGCACATATCTGTCTGGCTCTCAACATCAGGATGCAATCTGCATCCCTCCGTCTCTTTGTCTTGGCGGTGCCCTCTAACCAGGACACTCGGTGTGTCATTAGCGTCTCGTTCTTTCTTGGACTTCCCTGCAGGAGCCCTGCCAGTGAGTAACCGCTGTGGCACCAGGCAGCCAGACATAAATATTCTCAACAAGCCGGCTGATGGATGGTCTCCTTCTCCCCTCAGTTTGAAAGGGATGTTCCATGGGCCGGCACGATGGTCGACAACACCACGGCGGGTGAATGAAAGCTTTTTCCACGAGGGAATAACCTCGACTTGAGATGTTGACAGTAACTTAATCGCTGTGTTCGGCTGTGGGATGACAGGCTGAGGATTTAGGATGTCTGAGAGGTGTGGTGGAGTGCTGCTGCATATACTTCAGTGTTAGTCCACAGAAATTCAAACAAGTTGCTTTTAAATATATTAGGATACCATTTTAAATCCCTCTCTTCCTTAATGGCCATAAAAATGACTGAAATACACTCAGAAGGAAAAACCTCAGGAGCTTTTTAGATTTCTGCAAGCTGTGTGAAAACTTCCAACTACAAAGTTTCTCCTCTGCATTCACCGATAAGTCATTAAACCCATGCCATGTGACACTTGTTTATGTGTCACTTGTGGAGTGTAACTGGTCTTGTCTGCTGCTGCTGATGGACAACCTGCATGATCACCTAAAAAGCCCTCAGGACCCCTATGTTGTTGTGCTTCTCAACAGCCTGTGCCCGAGTTCAGTCTACCGCATGCCTTTCCACTTGGCTGCCTGTTGTAGTAGGGGAGTTAACTCGCTGATTGCAGGATGAGAACTGTGAAAACACACTGCTCAATCTTTTCCACCCTCAAAAACCAGCCAGTTCTGAAAACAAACAACACCGCCTGCCCGTAGAGTCATGGAACACCTTTTCTCAAGATAAACTGAGTGTGAAAGTGTTGTTTCCTCTGCGTGCCAGATACATGTTTTTGCTATCTGTCAGAATCTTATTGACCTGCTTTTCACTGTGTGACATATTCCTCAGTTCACATTCACACTCCTCCAATTCATAAGCTGTAGTGAACAACGTCTGTAGCTCAACACATCAAACTACTGTTTCCCTGAGATCAGAAAACCTCTTTTCTTTTCTATATCCTCTCAGGCTGCTTAGACAGAAGCAGCCTTCTTTCCAAGTTAGTTGCTTGGCAATGCAACAGCTAAATTTCCAGTGATGTGATTATTTAAAAAGAAAAAACGGGGAGGAGGATAATAACCAGAGCTCCCTATGCTTTTGATGGGAAAAATTAGTGTTTATGTAGCCTGTTGTCTGAATGCCAAAACTTTAAATACATCAGGTTGTTTAAGAGGCATTTTATGGTTTTTATCTTAATCATTAGAAGATATGTTTCGGTTTAAAAACGGGATAGTAAAGTGGAGCAGGCTTTAAGCCTCTGGACTCAGATATTTTTTATTATAACAGACCACTAACCCGTGTTAATGATTGCCCAATGACAACATAAGCAAACCGTTCACCTTTGCACAGCAGAGAGCAGACACATTTACGCCTGCCTCCCACGGTCTTATGACTAGAGAGCGATGGCTACGACTGATAGGGATGTGGGCTACTGTACCAGAGAGAAGATGTTGGAGTGGCAGTCCTCAAGGCTTGCCCCGTTAGCCACCCAATTCGCCGATGTAGTCATAATCGTCCGCCGTTTTTGGGGTCGTCAGCGCTGGGCATGTCGAAATCCTACATCGGTATCCAGCACCGAGCAGGGCTGACGAATCTGTTCCTCCTTGATTTTACGCGTCCGTGCCACAAATAAAAAAGGAGGTCCAGATAATAAGATATATGTCGGGTAGAGGAATTGGGCGTATTGGGAAAAAAAGAAGTGTTAGAATGCATCCATGAAGACCCCCCCACCTCCTCCTCTCCTCCTCCTCCTTCCCCAGCAGATCTCAAATGTTGTAATGTTTGTAAATCCGAGCGTGTGCGCGGATCAAAACATTGTTCCAGCCACAATCCAGGTCAGGCGATTCCAAATGTGGCCACTGTCAGAGGCGCAGGACGCAGGAGCGGTATCCATTTCAATCCACACAGACAAACACACAAACACACAGAGAGAGGAGGAGGATCAGCCTGTTTCCATATCAGTCTTTCCGCTCATAGTTTTAATTGTAAAAAATAAAAAAAATAAGAGCATAATCCATTGGAAGGCGACTCCCGGGACACAATCTCTACCCCTTTTCCAAAAATGTTACGAGCCAGAACTTATTTTTAAAAAGAAGAATTACGCACAGGCAGCTCTGCACAACAATTAACTTAGAGAGGAGGCGGCATCAGTGCTTCATGCAGGATATCTGATTCCGTCTGCTCCACAAGCTGATGCACCACTTGTGATAGTTTTCGAGAATTGCATGCGCTATTTATAGCCTCCTTTCTTACCACAACCTCACAATGTAGCCCCGACTGGCTCGCACACACGCACACACACTCACAAGCAGGAATGTTTAATCCCTCTGTTTCGAGAGGGGGGATCTCTGAGGGGGAAAAACGAACAAGCTCCCCCAGTCCAGTGCTCCTCCGTGGCAGGGAGGACCGAGTCGGGTTCCCGGTACTAACCCCCAAAACCATGCGCCAAGACGCGTCCACACAGGGGGAGAAAAAAACTATTCTTGCGCTCCACCACCACCGCCAGGAAAAAAGACGACAAGCAGGCTCCTGTAGACGGACGTTAGAGAAAAAAAATCCTTCCTTCCTTTTCAGTTTTATATCATTACGAAACGTCCTCTCACAAAAACGCACCTCGTGGTTTTTTTTTTTAAATTTTAAATTAAAACGCACATTTTACGCAGAAGTGTCAGTCCTGGCGTGAATCGGCTGCATGCCGCGGAGTGTTTCCTTCATTAAAAGAAGCAGCTCGACATTTAAAAGCGTGTCCTCCTCCCTGCTCCGCTCCTCCTGCCTCTGTCGACAAACGCTGTGATTACTGAATTAGAATCCTCGGTGTGCGCATGATGTCAGCGGCGGCTGCTTCCTCGGTGCTGGTCGTGTCCCGTGGCGCGCGTCGTTATGTGGGCAAATAAGTGGAAGTGTGCGTGTATCCGGACTGTGTCATGTCTGTTTGTCTTTTTTTACGCGAGGCTCCGCCGCTGTAGCGTTGTTTCCCTCCCTCGCTCTCTCTCCCTCCCTCTCTCTCTCTTGCGCGCACGATCGTCCAGCCCACCACGCATGGTAATGTAATGGCGGTCGGAAGCGTACACTACCCGAGACTCTGCCTTCCTATTCGGCCAAGTTTGCGCCCACGTGACCAAAGTCTGGGATTACAGTACTGTTTTTGTGTCTTTTGATACGAGGCTGGATCTGGATGCGACGTCGTGCTGCTCGTGCCTGTGTTTCTTTTTTGTTGTCACACCGCTTGTTGTTGAACCTCTCTGCTTCTGCTCCCACACGTCTGTTCGAGTGCCCGAAGAAAGATCGCATTTATATGTTGTGTTGTCTTTTTTTTTTTTCCACTGCAGGGTGTCATTCTGTGATGCATCGGTTACATAATGAAACTGTGTTCTCACAACAGAGGATGTGACAGACTAGAGGTCAGAATGACTTACTGAGCTCATACTGTTTCATAAGATGCATCTATGTGGGTTATGGTCTCAACACTTTAATATATGAAAAGACAAAACACTATGAATCAAATTATCTTATTTAAATCAAGAATTTTTAACAGTTATGTAGATAGAGATCGACTGATGTAGATTTTTGGGGCCGATACTGATATTAGGAAAAACAAAATTCTGATACCAATATATCGGCTGATGTCATTTTGAACTCTTATGTAATTGAGGCATGATAGTTTACTTTCTAAACCTCATCTTAAATAACTATAAATAAAAAGAAAACTCAAAAACAATCAAATAAGAAAATACAAATGAAATCCACTTTCCTGGATTGTCTATTCTGTAAACTAGAAGCTATTACATCTGCAAACATAAATGCCATATTACCACCAGGGCCATAGGCAGGATTTTAGTGATATGTCCCCCTAACAACCCCTCACCACCCTACACCAAGAAGAAGGTCTCTAATGTTTTCATATTATATTTACGTATATATAATATCTGTGGAGCACTCTGACATCGCTCAGCTCTTTGTTTTGACAGTTTTACTGTTGTAGTTCACTCACTGCTCTCACAAATCTTGTTTTACTGCAGCAACTGGCAGTTTTCAGCAAAAAAATCCTCTGGTAAACCGACTGTATTCTGTAGCCCACCTGCCCGATAACCTGCCCAGCACTAAATAACAGAAACACAATGTTATAAACTGGCTGGTGAACATGATGGTGCATTTAAGAGGAGAGGCAGACATTTCCCTCTGGAGTTGGTGGAGAACAAAACAGAGAGAACATTTTAAATGAACGTCAAGTGACTTTATGTCAGTGTTGCAGTTACAGTGGCCAAAAGAAAGTATGTTATTCAAGTAAATTGTTAAACTTTAAATCAATAATTGCTTACAAACCCAACACGTGTATTGCCCTTGTTCTAGTAGTTTGTTCAGATTATAGATGACTTAGTTCTTTACAGGAATTTATTAGGAAATTACACCCATTACGTACATACATTATTTAGTTTCCTTGTCAAATTTTAATGTTCTTCAATATAAATGTGAGGGTTAACTTCCTACATGGTTAATAAACCATCCAGATTTTCAGAAAAAAATCAATGGGCCACAACCTCAGTGAACTCCATGGTATTGCTATGAGCCTAGTTATAGGCTACCATGACCTCACTTGATTTAAATTACAATGAATTGAATCATCCAGTGAAAATTCTGGTCAATCTTCCTTACTTTCCAGTCCAATAAACCACACCAGTGTTGTTATGGTGACATTAGTTACACTGTCTATAAAAGTGTGCTTCGGTCATTCTTTTTGTTCTGGGGGAGCTTGCTGGTGGCGCCCTTTGAGGCTGAAGAACAAAAGATTATGAATATAACCACAGTTTCCTGAGGAAGACTGAAGATGCCGGAGTCAGAGCGAGAGCATCAAATATTTGTGTTGTTATCAATCATTCATCAGTCATTATATGCACTTTACTGTGTTGTGTTTGTATTTTCTTAACGTCTGGATTAACCAAGGTTTTAGATTCAGAGGTGATAGTACATTTTATTACATTTGTCAACACAATTTTGACCCATCAGAGAATGTTTTCCTCTCATCGTGCAAACAGAACTACAGCGCCTATGAGACGACAGCTGAGACTGCTTTGCCTCTAATATCATTTTTATCATGAATAAACAGGAACATGAACAGTCAATACCTGCAGACCTTTGCAGATGGATCCCCTCAAGGTTTATAAAAAGATTCAATAGTGTATTTATTGAATCTGTTCAGCTTATATTTATCAGTCAATAACCCTTTTATCCTTTAGTCACATTTTCCCTCACAAAGAATAAATTGTATCACACTGAACTGAATAAACCTTTTCGTTTCAAGTGATAAAGCTGCAATGATTTAAAAATAAAACATTTATACTATTATCAGGTTCCCTTTCCAAGGTTTTATCCTGCATGAACATTCCGTTGTGTTTAAAATATAATCACTAACACGCAGTTATTAATAAAATGTCCTCTCCCAGTCAGGATTTCCATTGAGTTTCACAACCCGTACAATTAATTAAATAACAACAGTGTGAGAGACGTTGTTATTTCAGCAGCAACAGTAGTAGTAGTTTTGCATTACTGTAAAATCTGAGACTGGAAGTTCATCTCTGCAATTTACATGAAAAGTGAGAAATTATGTTAAAAGCTGTTTCGGATTATGAATTTGTGATATGGGTTCAAATCCTAGTTGTTTGATTTAAGTACAAGAATCGTTATTATCACGTAAATATACATGATGTATTACTTTTATTTTTATGTTGTATGTTTTGAGAGCCTTACATTTTCCAAGGCAGACATTTGAACATCAACCCGCCATCATGTGAAGTGTACAAACGGATGCACAGTGGCAGTAGTTTGAATTCTACTGTATAATTCATAGGTTGTTACAGGCGGACTGCAGGATCATTTCTAACCATAAGATATGGTGCCATGTAAGTGTAAATCCAGCTATTTATAGACAACTGTTCCTTTATATCCTCATAGAATGACATATCCAATCCATTATGACATAAGTCTCACATTAATCACTCGGCACAGCTTTATGTATGTGAGGAAACAGCTCGCAGCTGGTACATATCGCCACAGAGAGGGAGCCTTTAGTCCGGTGATTCCTCTTATATCTGAGAGACGGGAGTGAGGGAGGGAATGAATCAGATGGATGAGCGAGGGCTTAGCCTGGCGGTTATTGATCCTTTTGCTCCTGGAATGATCCACACCTCATTTGAAGACTTTCCACCCCCCCCTCGCTTTGTTCGATACATCCTTAAAGAGTTTGAAAAGACTCTCGCACACAGTTTGGCACGCTTGGTCTGGAGCTGATAGGATGCGATTCCATCAGTTGGAATAAATCTATTTCAATATGGCACGAATTTCCCCTCATCAGGCCCCCACTGACTTGATCTGTGTGTGAGGAGAGAAAATGCATCGCTGCTCTGATTAAAGAAAATAGTGCATGTCAGACAATCTGTTTAGACATGTTCAGAATAGAGGCATTTATGTGTGAGTTTAATGGAGGGGTTGTGTGGCTCTCTGTAAGTATTTGTGAACCTTTTAATTAAGTCTCATATCAAAGTGTTACAAACTATGTATCACATGAACAGGCTGTGTGCAGTCATATACAAAACACGTAAATGTTGTTCACAGTCTGGTTAGCTATGCAATAAACCTAGTAGTCAGAATTAAAGTCATGACAGGTGGAGTTATTATATAAGGCTTTTAGAAGTAGACAGTATAACAGGTCTCACTGCTCAAACCAGTTCATATAGTGACATTTTATTCAAATCTTTACACCCAGCAACTGTTGTGTAGTCAACTGACAAAGCTAATGGTAGCTAATATATTGCACATTTGGAGTCAAGAGTAAAAGTCACATTAGGCTTGACTTATTTACACAAGTAAACTACAAACTGTTGCATCAGTAAATCAATTTTATTACTCATTTTAATTTGTATTTTAGAGCAATACCAAAGGAATGAAAGTTGAGTTCAATGTGACATCTTAAAACTCTTATTCTTTAAAGCTGCATCACAATTTATGATATTACAGCGAATGCCTGTTTATATATTTGGTTATTTTTTTATTTGTCACGGCTACAGATGTTTCCTGGAAAGTAATTTACGCACTAAATGTTAAAGTCTACTTATGAGTCTCAACTAGCTTTTAGCGGCAAAGAGCATTATAAGGACTTTAAACAAAAACGTAAACATAAATATTTAAAATTTTGCACAACCTAATCCAGCCCTGAGAGGGTGAGGTCAGATTTTGAGCCTGCGGACAACATAGGCAAACTAGAAGAGGCCGATCGCAGAGCGCATCCCTCCTCCAAGGCTAACAGTCTGTCTCTCAACATTTTTGGATCCACCCCCTTAATAGAATCCACTCCAGAAGTTTATGTCTTCTTAAAAACAGACAAACACAACTAAAACCATAACCTCTTCAGCGGAGGTAATGATGCTAAACCCTGAATAGTGGACAGACATATCTGACAGCACCTCATTCTAACCTTAAAACCGGAGTTGTTCCAAATTGAGTCCCATCTCTCATTGTCAGAATTTGATTTCAGGGCCTTTAAAATATTACAAGTACGCCATGATGACAAACACTTTTTCTACATGTCCCCTACATGTTTTGCATGTGGCTAACTGTTAAAGTGCTCATTATTAATTAAGATGCGTATATTGCAGGGGATTAAGCTCGCACCAGCACTGAAGGGTGTTTGTCGCTCATACCCGCAGAGGAACGTATATTTCTTAAGAACAAGCAGTAGCTCGCAGTATCTTCATTAGTGATTGATGGATCACCGTGCGCTAAGTTAACACACACCTAGCAGCAAATTCTCTCCATAAAATCAGATGAGAGTTTCTCCTCTGTTCGCGGCTCCAATACCTCTCTGGCATTTCCTGGAGCGCGGAGAGTCTGGCTGAGAAGAATAGATGGTGTGCATTATAATGAACATGGGCTGACACCGCCTCATCCATCATTCCACCCAGGAAAATTATAGCCGTGCCAGAGAGAGAGAGGGAGAGAGAGAGACTTTAAATCACACCATGTCTGCAGGTCTAACTCCTCTCAGACTGTCA